GGATGATCTCGATCTCTTGACCTCGTAATCCACCCACCTTGGCCTCCCTACTTCTTAAATTTTTACAGAAGTATAACTCTTAACAAAATAATGTTGGTCCAACACTTTGAGATGGTAACAAAGGACTACAGAACAGACAAAACTGAACTTAACACGAGACTCCAGGTAGACTTAGTCTGAGAGCAACTCCTTTCAAACCTCCTTTGCTGCTCAAACGTGGCTAAAAGGGTTTTGAAACTGGCTCGTAGTCACCAATCACTAATCGCAATGTGGGATGTGACCAGCAACCACGACAGGGCCATCCAGACACTAGGCAACAACAAAACTTAACTAAAGGCCAGGCACAGTGGCTCACACCTGTAATCCCAGAACTTTGAGGTGGATCACTTGAAATCAAGAGTTTGAGACCAGCCTAGCCAACATGGTGAAACCCTGTCTCTACTAAAAATATAAAAATTACCCAGGCGTGGTGGCAAGTACTTGTAGTCCCAGCTACCCGGGAGGCTGAGGCACGAGAATCACTTCAGCCTGGGAGGCACAGGTTGCAGGGAGCCAAGATCACGCCACTACACTTCAGCTTCGTCTCAATAAATAAATAAATAAATAAATAAATAAATAAATAAATAAAAATAACCAGATGACTGATCAGTCATGCTCTCTGAGAAAGATCTTGATCGAAAGGAAGAACTGTAAAAGTTGTCAGCATCAAAATGGAGTCACTAATATTAAGAAAAACAGAGGCAGAGAAGCCCAGGAAGAGAGTTATCTTGTATCCCAGGTAATGAAAAAGGCTCTACAAAAACCACAACCTTGCACACACAAAAAAATGCTTCTCTGATGGCGTCATCTGCCCAGCAACTGCCAGTCTAACCTCGGACTCCGTCACCCTTGTTATTCATCTTTGTAGCCAAGGATAATTATTTCAAAACAATTACATAATCCCCCTCATTTTTTCCTCTAAAATTCTTTGTCTTCTTTTGTCTTCCCTGTTATCTGACTTATAATAACTCATGAAACAATTAAAAAGTAAACTGTGTCTTCCTGTACCTCCCCAATAACAGTTTAATGTGGCTCATGTACTCCCATTGCAATGGTCTATTCTGAAAGAAGCACCTTCTTCTTCCGGAGAGCCCCTCTTCGTTATTTAGGTTGACAAGTCTTCAACAAATGGTGCCAAAACAACTGGATATCCATATTGGCGGAGGTGGGATAAATCTTGACCTTTACCTCATACCATTCATAAAAATTAATTCAAGACGAATCATAAGCCCAAACATAAAAGTTAAAACTGGGCCAGCACAGTGGCTCACGCCTATAATCCAGCACTTCGGGGTGCCGAGGCAGGCAGATCACCAGGTCAGGAGATTGAGACCATCCTTGCCAACATGGTGAAACCCTGTCTCTACTAAAATACAAAAAATTAGCCAGGGGTGGTGGTTCGTGCCTGTAGTTCCAGCTACTCGAGAGGCTGAGGCCGGGGAATCGCTTGAACCTGGGACGCAGAGGTTGCAGTGAGCAGAGATTGTATATGGGGCCAGGCGCGGAACCTCACACCTGCAATCCCAGTATTTTCAGAGGCCAAGGCAGGTCACTTGAGTCCAGGAGCTCAAAACCAGCATGGGCAACATGGTGAAACCCTGTCTTTACAAAAAATACAAAAACAAATTTTTGCCAGGCATGGTGGCACACTACTTGGGAGGCTGAGGTAGGAGGATCGCTTCAGCCCAGAAGGTGGGAGGCTGCAGTGAGCCAAGATTGCATCACTGGACTCTACCCTGGATGACAGAATAAGATCCTACCTCAAAAAAATAAAAAATAACTGGCTTATTTCAAACAGGTTGCTTAGGAGGAATTCACCATACAAATCTGTCCGCCCCCTCAGCCACTGAGCCCTCAAAGATTCTGTATCTACATTAAAGACCTGCTATGGCAGTGAAAAAAAGAAACTGAATTCGTTATTTTCACCTAAGGAAAAATGATAAGACAAAAATCAAACCTGTGGTGCAGGACAGGATTCTTCCTCCTATAAGATTTTTCTGATGCACATACTCAAAGAGTGATTTGGTGTGGAGCAGCTGGAAGACTATTTGAATTTTGCAAACTATATCTTGTGGGGATTTTTTTTTTTTTTTGAGACGGAGTCTCGCTCCGCCGCCAGGCTGGAGTGCAGTAGCACAACCTCAGGTTCTTGGCTCACTGCAACCTCCTCCTCCAAGGTTGAAGGGATTCTCCTGCCTCAGCCTCTTGAGTAGCTGGGATTACAGGCACGCGCCAACGCCCAGCTAATTTTTCTATTTTTAGTAGAGATGGGGTTTTGCCTTGTTGGCCAGTCTGGTCTTGATCTCTTGACCTCATGATCTGCCCGCTTCCCGAAGCACTGGGATTACAAGTGTGAGCCACCGCACCTGGCCAATACTTTTAATACTTCCTTACTTTACAATCTTTCTTCTCTACCTTACTATTATTTTCTTACACATTTATAAGAAAGAACGTGTTAGAAGAAGCCTAGTGTCATAAATGATGGGAAGGTACAAGGAAAATGGTGGCAACTCTGTGGGATGGACATGCAGCAGTGTGGCATGGTGAGCAAGGCACTGCCATTCGTGTGTGCAGCATGGGAACAGTTTTATTGATTCCATTTTATTGATTAAGAAGACACTGAAAAATATGATAGAAGTGATATTTACTATTCCCTGTTACCTGTTTGCATGCATCGTGCATATGCATGTTCTTCCTTAAAATGAGTTTTCCCAGAGACATTAGTTTCCATTAAACACACAACCATGCAACAGTGTAGACTACAAGCTGGAATATGAAAATATATATCTAACACATATAAGAGTAAGAGACTATAATTAAAAGTATAGAAAACTGCTTTAAAAAAATTAAGACTACATACAAAGCTTCTAGAAGTAAATCTAAAATATCTTTGTGATGCCATGGTTGGCAAAAATTTCTTAAAATACGAAAAACACAGCTGGGCGTGGTGGCTCAAGCCTGTAATCCCAGCACTTTGGGAGGCCGAGGCGGGTGGATCATGAGGTCAAGATATTGAGACCATCCTGGTCAACATGGTGAAACCCCGTCTCTACTAAAAATACAAAAAAATTAGCTGGGCATGGTGGCACGTGCCTGTAATCCCAGCTACTGAGGAGGCCAAGGCAGGAGAATTGTCTGAACCGAGGAGGCGGAGGTTGCGGTGAGCCGAGATCGCACCATTGCAATCCAGCCTGGGTAACAAGAGCAAAACTCCATCTCAAAACAAACAAACAAACAAACAAAAATATGAAAAACACTAACCATAAAATAAAAATATGATATACTGAACTGTATCCAAAATAAAACTTTCAAAAGATACATTTATGGAAATAGAAAAACCACAGACTAGAGAAATATTCACAATGCACATTTGACAAAAGATTCACATTTACAACATATAAAGAATTTCTAGAAATCAATAATACAGTCAAACAACCAGTTTGAACAAAGATGTGAACAGACATTTCACAAGTATAAACAGCCAATACGCACAACACAAGATGTTCCTGGCTGGGCACAGTGGCTCACACCTGTAATCCCAGCACGTTGGGAGGCCAAGGCAGGTGGATCACGTGAGGTCAGGAGTTTGAGACTAGCCTGGCCAACATGGTGAAACCCCCATCTCTACTAAAAACACAAAAATTAGCTGGGTATGTTGGGACACGCTTATAACCCCAGCTACTCAGGAGACTGAGACATGAGAATTACTCGAACCCGGGAGGCACAGTGATTGGAGACGGCACCACTGCACTCCAGCCTGGGCAACAGAGTGAGACTCTGTCTCAAAAAAATAAAACACAAATGTTCCTAATCATCAACCATCGCCAACAAAATGTAAATTAAAACCACAATGAGGTCCTACTTCACAACCATGAGAATGCCAAAAATTACACAATAGCACACGATGGTGAGAATGTATAAGAAACAGAACTTTCATAAATTGCTGAGCAAGTACAGAGTAGTACAACCACACTGACAACAGTCTGGGAGCTTCTTCCACAGTTAAATATACACCCACTCTATGACTTAACAATTGCGCTTCGAGGTATTTACCCAAGGAAAACTGAACGTTACATTCACAAAGTCTTGTCAAAGAACTTCACAGCACTTTTTTTCATTATCGTCAAAAACTAAAAACTGGCCAAATATCTATGTATAGATTTTTAAAACTGGTATATTCATACAATGGCATACTACTGAGAAATGAAACTGAAGGAACTACTAATACATGTTACATGATACAACACGGATACATCTCAAAAATATGTCGAGTTTAAGAAGCCAGTTGCAAAAGACTGCACATTACATGATCCCACTCATATGAAATTCTTTTCTTTTCTATTTTTTTTTTTGAGATGGAGTCTCACTCTTATCACCCAAACTGGAGTGCAGTGATGCGATCTGGGCTCACTGCAACCTCTGCCTCCTGGGTTGAAGTGATTATCCTGCCTCAGTCTCCCAAGTAGCTGGGACTGCAGGCACCCACCACCACACCTGACTTATTTTTGTATTTTTCATAGGAACGGGGTTTCACCATTTTGGCCAGACTGGTCTCATACTCCTAACCTAAAGTAGTCCACCCACCTGCCTCCCAAAGTGAAGGGATTACAGGTGTTAGCCAGCGCACCTGGCCACTCAATATGAAATTCTAAAAAGGCAAAACTAAATAAGACTAATAGCAATTAGAACAATAATTCCCTAGGGACAGAGAGTTATTGACTAGAAATGGGCACAATAAATTTATTGGGGTAGGGAAAACAGCTTATATCTTCACTGTAGTTGGTGAATATAGGTTCTACATCTATCAAAATTTGCTGAACTCATTTTGAAGAATCATTTAAAAATATGCGCATTTTATTAAATGTAAATTATACCTCTAAATAGTAAATTTATTGACACTGTGTAATAGCTATTTAAAAGTTGCATATGATAGACATATTGAATAAAAACAAAAAAAATACCTTTGTCCACCTGCAAAGCTTCACCCCAGAGTGGCTCCCAATCAACTGATAACCTGGAGAGAAAAGCAGGGAACACAAAGTTGAACCAATCCAAAGCATCATACCAAAAAGTGACATTAAAATTTAGCAATTTTTTTTCACTAAATTATTGTAGTTAACCAACCCATGGCAAAAAACATTAAAGATTTAATTCAGCAAGATGAGAAAACAATTTAAAATGTATATGTATCTAATAACATAGACTCAAAATAAATAAAGAAATCATCTTTTTCTTTTCTTTTAAGACAGTCACGCTCTATCACCCAGGCTGGAGTGCAGTGTCGCAATCTCAGCCCATTGCAACCTCTGCCACCCGGGTTTCATCGACACTCATACCAAATAATTGGGACTGCAGTTGCGCTTCACCCGGCCAGGCTAATTTTTTTGTATTTTCAGCAGAAATGGGATTTCATCATGTTGGCCAGGCTGGTCTTGAACTCCTGGCCTCAAGTGATCCATCTACCTCGGCCTCCCAAAGTGCTGGGATTATAGGCATGAGCCACCGCACCCAACCAAGAAACAATAAATTTATCCAAAAATTATATGAGGAGATTTTAACCTCTCTATATCTAACAGATCTCATAGGTGAAAACTCAGTAACGCTCTAAAAGATTTAAACAACACAACACATAAACTTGACCAAAAACCTACAGAGCCCTGTACTCACCAACTACTGAATTCATATTCTCTTCACAGATCAGTGAAACATTTATAAAAATGAACTGTATGCTGAGCCATAAAACAAAAATAATGATATATTTCAAGTGAATGAATGGGGCGCTATCATTAGTAATCTTTGAAAGAGAAGATGAAGAATCAGGTATCAATGAGAGATTAAAACAAAGTAATGCTGACCCAAAGAGAGAAAAATCAAATTAAAATCAAAATTAATATCTTCAATGTGAATTCTCAGTAGCACCACAACCTATTGTTTCAAATTTTTGAGCTACCTAGGTCATGAAAAGCATGGAAAAAGCCAGGCCAAAGTAATCTCATTTCCTTTTTGAACAAACTGGTAGTACAAACTAGCAGTACATTTTGATTTCAGAAAGCATTCAATACCGTTTCTCATGAGGCTTCAGGTAATAAGCCACAATTATCATGAGTCATTCACACAAAAAGACTCTTGCAGGCAAATAAGGCAAATGGAGAAATACCGTCTGGGTGACAGCGTCAGCGGATCAGTATTCGCACTGTGGTGATCACTGGAACAATGTCAATCTGGATTGCAAGTCTCTAGTGGCGACATTTACGGGGCTTTGTCTTTTATCCTCGCCTACATTTATGTAAACATCTTGCATATAAATAAACAAAGCACTGCTTATATACTCGAAGGCGGAATTGAGTCCAATGGAATAACTAATCTCTGATACCAAATATGCATTTACAAGATCCCCAGAGGAAATTCTAGTTCTTCTCTTAGCATTCTACATGACACTGTTCATACTATCATAGAAACCATCCTCTATTACATTAGCTCTATATTTTTATCTCCCAAGATAAACAGGTTTCTATAACATTCAGCATTTAGGTAAGGAAAACAACTGTACATTATAGGATGGAAGATCTGTAGTTGACCATGGCACAAACAGAAGCCAATAGTGTGCAGCTGCTGAAAATCACAGTGTGGAATTCTGCATCTGGCGAAGACAGAGGAACAGGATTTACAATCCTAACCTGGAATACCAAAAAATCAACAAAATATATGAAGCAACCGTTTTCTCAGGCAACAAAAGATGGTGATCCCACAGAGATGGGAAACAATAAAGAGGAGCCTTCTCTTTATTACCTCAGATTACCGTCTAGAAACCTTCCAGGCCATGTAGCAAAGACAGACTATGCAAGCGAAGCCCAACGGACTCTTGAGTTTGGAAAACGGAACAGAGCCTGGGGAGACAAAGGTGGCTACAGTTTGCAGGATTGAACACTAGAGAGATGAAACCTACAAACTACTCCAAGAGTCTACAGAGGATTTCTCTCAAGTATTTGCCAAAGTACTGTGTAGCACATTCACAAAGAAATACTACCCAGGATGGGAAAGAATCATTTTTGGAAGACTAGAAATTAGAGAAGAAACAATTACTGAACTGGAAGACACAGTGATAGAAATTACCCCAAATGAAAAGAGGGAGAGAATAAGGAAAGGACTGGGGGTGATGCCTGATGATTACAACAAGCTAAGAAGTATACCTGTTTCTGCCAGTCAGACTAGAAATCTAAAGATGCACAAGGCATTAGGTAGACTACATAGAAGTGTTTTACCTCAATGGTGAGGAATAATTAGCCCTGTACTGAGCTGCCTCTATTCTCATCTAAGAAGACGTAAAAGTGCCGGGTGCGGTGGCTCACACCTGTAATCCCAACACTTTGGGAAGCCAAGGTAGGCGGATCATGAGGTCAAGAGATCGAGACCATCCTGGCCAACATGGTGAAACCCTGTCTCTACTAAACATAAAAAAATTAGCCAGGCATGGTGGCACATGCCTCTAGTCCCAGCTACTCAAGAGACTGAGGCAGAAGAATCGCTTGAACCTGGGGAGTGGAGGCTGCAGTGAGCCGAGATTGCACCACTGCACTCCAGCCTGGAAACAGAGCAAGACTCTGTCATATAAAAAAAAAAAAAAGGATATAAAACTCAAGTTATTTCTTAACTTAATCTTGTCCTTGGGGGGGAAAAGCGGCCCACGTGGACAGATCATGAGGTCACGAGATCGAGACCATCATGGCTAGCATGGTGAAACCCAGTCTCTACTAAAAAATACAAAATATTAGCCAGGCATGGTGGCATGCACCTGTATTCCCAGCTACTCAGGAGGCTGAGGCAGGAGAACTGCTTGAACCCGGGAGGCAGAGGTTGCAGTGAGCTGAGATTGTGCCACTGCATTCCAGGCTGTGCAACAGAGCGAGACTCCATCTCAAAAAAAAAAAAAAAAAAAAAAGCTTAAAAGTGTTTATTAGGGTGTTTATATAAAAAAATCCAGCACCCAATAAGGAAAAATTAGATCTGACATCCAATCAAAAATATGAAGCAGGCAAACAGATAGAAAAACATGACCAACAAGGAAAATAATCCATCAACCAAAGCTGACCCAGAAATGGCAAAGATATTACCAGACTGGGACATTAAAACAGTTATAACTGTATTCTGTAGGCTCACAAAGGTAAGAGATGTGGAAAATACAAAAAGACCCAAACTGAACTTCTAGAAATGAGACCTATAATGTCTAAGTTGAAAAATACATTAAGGTGCAGATCAAAGATGGTCAAATAGGAACAGCTCTGGAGTGCAGTTCCTAGAGAGAACAACACAGAGGGCGAGCGATCACCGCATTTAAAAATGAGTTTCTACTGCCCACAGACCAGGAGATTCCTGGGCTGAAAAGTACCACGAGTTTCCAGCATGGCTATTTCAGCCGGCGCCGCAGATCTCCACACAAAAACTCACACAAATCTCAGCAGCCGTTTCAAGTGGCACCTGGAATGCCTAAGAGACAGAGCCACCCATTCAACTGGAAAACAAGGGGGGACTGAAACAGGGAGCCAAGTGATCTGGCTCAGCAGGTCCCACTCCCACAAAGACCAGCAATCTGAAACCCTCTGGATTGAGAGTTTTGCAGCAAGTGCAGCTGGACATGGGCTGGTCCAGTTCGGTGGGGGGAGGCATCCGCCATTACCGAGGCAGTCCACCACTACTGAAGCAACCCACCACTACCAAGGCAGTCCACTGCTACCAAGACAGTTCCAACTGTACCTCTGTAAACAAACCACAAGGAAGTTCACTCAGCAGCTGGGCAGAGCCCACAGCAGCTCAGCAATGCCTCTATAGGCAAACTGTGAAAAGACTACCCCTTGCTGGGCAGGGCATCTCTAAAAAAAGTTCAGCACACCAGGAATTTATAAATAAAGCCCCACCTTCCCAAGACAGAGCACCTGGGGAAAAAGGCAGTTGAGTTATGCTGCAGCAGACTTAAACGTACCTGCCCAGAAGCTCTGAAGAGAACAGTGGAGCTCACAGCACAGCACTTGAGCTGCTATAAGGGACAGACTGTCTCCTCAAGCAGGTCCCTGATCCCCATATATCCAAAGAGTCACCTCATAAAGGAGAGCTCAGGCTGACATCTGACAAAGATTACAGAAGAAGAAAGTAGCAGCAACCCTTATTATTCTGCAACCACCACAGGTGATCCCCAGGCAAGCAGGGTCTGGAGTGGACCTCCAGCAGTCCTACAACAGAAGAGCCTGATTGTTAGAAGGAAAACTGAAAAAACAAAAAGAAATAACATCAACATCAACAAAAAGGACGCCCACTCAGAGACCCAATCTGAAAGTCACCAACTACAAAGACCACACATAGATAAATACATGAAGATGGGAAGAAACCAGCACAAAAAGGATGAAAACACCAAAAACCAGAACACCTCTCCTCCTCCAAGGGAACACAACTCCTCATCAGCAAGGGAACAAAGCTGGATGGAGAACGAGTCTGACGAATTGACAGAAACAGGCTTCAGAAGGTGAGTAATAACAAACTTCTCAGAGCTAAAAGAACATATTCTCACCCAGTGCAAAGAAACTAAGCTCCTTGAAAATAGTTAGACAATGTGCTAACAAGAACAAACAGCTTAAAGAAGAATATAAATGACTGGCTGGAGCTGAAAAAACAGCATGAGAATTTCGCAAAGCATACACACATTTCAATAGCCAAATCGACCAAGCAGAAGAAAGGATATCAGAGATCAAAGATCAACTCAACGAAATAAAATAAGAAGGTAAGATTAGAGAAAAAAAGAGTGAAAAGAAATGAACAGCCTCCAAGAAATGTGCAATTATGTGAAAAGACTCAACAATCTATGTTCAATAGATGTACCGGAATGTGACAGAGAGAATGAATCCAAGCTGGAAAACACTCTTCCGGTTATTATCCAGGAAAACTTCCCCAACCTAGCAAGGCAGGCCACCATTCAAGTCCAGGAAATACAGAGACCACCACAAAGATATTCCTCTTCTATTCACC